TCAGCAACAAGAAGGAAGGAGATGCAGGGTCAAGCAGCCGTGTGGATCGATCACACTTAACATTCACACCAAACGCAGCACAGGCAGGACCAGCCCGGGGGGTGGGGGCACGAAGTGGAGGCTCTCTGGAGTGGGGGGCCTCTCGGTGGGCAAGATTCTCTACCAAAAACTCCAATAGAAGATCTACACAGCAGTAGTTACAGAAAACACACACTAAGAAAAAGGCCAAAATAAAAATAGGACACAAAGTTTGGCCAACCGGGTCTCACAAGCCAGTAGGTAAGAAAGCCCAGGAGGGCCCACCAGAGGAGCTGGGGGTGGGTTCCTGCCTGCAGGGGGCCTTGGACACCCCATTCCCACAGATGAGGACCCAAGCTTTGGGGAGGAAGCTGTCAGAGTCACCCAGTGAGCTGTTCAGAGCTGGAGCCAAAGAGCAGGTGAGGAGCCCTGGCCACATCCCCGTGTGCACTGAGAAGCTGGGGTGGGGTCATACCCCCAGGGGCCAATGCAAACAGTGGACCGCGGGCCCTCCTTCTGCCTCGAGGATGCTCAGCTCCCAAGGGACCACCAAGGCCTGGAACCCAGGGACGCACGACCTGACCATCATGCCCAGGCCTCCTGGACCAGGTAATGTCCAGTACAGGCAGGCAGTCTGGACTTGGGGCCAGGACAGGGGTGGATGGTCCTGCTAGGCAGACCTCCTTCTCCCTACCAGCTGGGCTGGTTGCACTGTAGTTTCGGTTCTGGCAACATATTTTTGCCCACTTTGGCCACACCAGTCCCCGGCTTCCTGGCTAGGCCCAGTGCTGTCCAATCTACCTACACAGGCCCCACATACCGAGTGCCCACTAGGCTGTGTCAGCCAGGAGGACCCATGCTCATCCCCTGAAGTTTCCGTGGGAGCCTGCATCCCACAGGGACCCAGAGCTCAGGGCCAACCTCCATGGGGTCTTGGTTGTGGTGGCAGTTGTGGGGGGTAGTTGACCTCCAGCCCTCCCATCCTGGCCACTGTATTTTGCGGGGATCGTTCAGTCCTGGGAGCTTCCTGGGGACCCCAGAAGGAAGAGAACAGGGTGGTCATGGTAGCCTCAGCCCCAGGCTCTGGGCCCAAGTGCAACAGAAGGTAGAGAACAGGGTGGTCATGGCAGCCTCAACCCCAGGCTCTGGGCCAGATGTTGATAACGACCAATTGAGAGCAACCACTGAATTCGGTCCTCTTACAGATACACGAGAAGTTGGCGAAGAACTGAATGTCGACCATTCTATGGTCATCCAGCATTTGAAGCCAATTGGAAAGCTGAAAAATCTTGATAAGTGGGTGCCCCATGAGCTGACCAAATATTTTAAAAAGCATCCTTTTGAAGTGTCATCTTCTCTTATTCTATGAAACAACATTGAACCATTTCTTGATCAGATTGTGACATGCCACGAAAAGTGGATTTCGTACAATAGCCAGCTCACTGGTTGGACAGAGAAGAAGCTCCAAACCACTTCCCAAAGTCAAACTTGTACCAAAAAAAGGTCATGATCACTGTTCAGTGGTCAGCTGCCGGTCTTCTGATCCACTACAGTTTTTGAATCCTGGTGAAATCATTACATCTGAGAAGTATGCCAAGTTAATCGATGAGACGCATGGAAATCTGCAGCACCTGGAACCGGCACTGGTCATCATGAAGGGCCCAGTTCTCCACAATGCATGACTACATGTCCTACAACCAGGGCTTCAAAAGTTGAATAAGCTGGGCTATGAAGTTTTGTCTCATCTGCCATATTCATCTGACCTCTCACCAACCAACTACCACTTCTTTAAGCATTCTTGACAACTTTTTGCAGAGAAAACACTTACACAACCAGCAGAATGCAGAAAATGCTTTCCAAGAGTTCATCGAACCCTGAAAGCATGGAATAAACAGGTCTATTTCTCATTGGCAAAAATGTGTTCAATGTAATTGTTTCCTTTTGTTTTTTAAGACCGAGTCTCACTCTGTCGCCCAGGCCAGAGTGCAAAGGTACAATCTCGACTCACTGAAACCTCTGCCTCCTGGGTTCAAGAGATTCTCCTGCCTCAGCCTCTTGAGTAGCTGGGATTACAGGCATATGATACCACACTCGGCTACTTTTTGTATTTTTAGTAGAGATGGGATCTCACCATGTTGGTCAGGCTGGTCTCAAACTCCTGGCCTCCTGATTTACCCACCTCAGCCTCCCAAAGTGCTGAGATGACAAGTGTGAGCCACTGTGCCCAGTCCATTGTAATGGGTTCTATTTTGATTAATAAAGATGTGTTGCAGCCTAATTATAAAAACTTAAAATTCACAGTCCAAAACCACAATTACTTTGTCACCAACCTAATAATAGAAGAATTAAAAGAGGCCTTTATATTAGAGAGCCCATAGTTGATAAAATAATAAAGAATATTACAATCTCCATAACCCATAAACTTGGTAACTTAGACCAACTGGATGAATTAAAAGACACAATCTATTAATACTAAAACATAGGAGAAATAG